TGAGGCAGCTACAACAACAAGCACTTTCAGCACTGCACCACTAACCAGCTCTAGTGGAACAACAACAACATCAAACACTGCACCAGGGGTGACAAGTAGCGAGACAACGCAAACAGCTTCAACAGCAAGCACTTCTAGCACTGCACAACGGGCAACCAGCTCTAGCGGAGCAACAGCAAGCACATCAAATATTGCACCAGGGACATCTAGTAGTGAGACAAGGCGAACAGCTTCGATAACAAGCACTTCTAGCACTGCACCACCAACTAGCTCTAGTAGAACTACAGCAAGAACATCAAGCACTGCACCAGTGACATCTAGTAGTGAGACAACGCGAACAGCTTCAACAGCAAGCACTTCTAGCACTGCACAACGGGCAGCCAGTAGCGAGGCAGCCTCAACATCAAGCACTTCTAGCACTGCACAACTCATATCTAGCAGCACAGCAAGCGCATCAAACACTCCACCAGGGACGACAAGTAGCGAGATAACGCAAACAGCCTCAATATCAAGCACTTCTAGCAATGCACTACCAACTAGCTCTAGCAGAATCACAACAAGCACATCAAATATTGCACCAGGGACATCTAGTAGTGCGACAACGCGAGCAGCTTCAACAGCAAGCACTTCTAGCACTGCATCACGGGCAGCCAGTAGCGAGGCAGCTACAACAACAGGCCCATTTAGCACTGCAGCACCAACTAGCTCCAGTAGAACCACAGCAAGAACATCAAGCACTGCACCAGTGACATCTAGTAGTGAGACAACGCGAACAGCTTCAACAGCAAGCACTTCTAGCACTGCACAACGGGCAGCCAGTAGCGAGGCAGCCTCAACATCAAGCACTTCTAGCACTGCACAACTCATATCTAGCAGCACAGCAAGCACATCAAACACTCCACCAGGGACGACAAGTAGCGAGAAGAAGCGAACAGCCTCAATATCAAGCACTTCTAGCAATGCACTACCAACCAGCTCTAGCAGAACCACAACAAGCACATCAAATATTGCACCAGTGACATCTAGTAGTGCGACAACAACGCGAGCAGCTTCAACAGCAAGCACTTCTAGCACTGCATCACGGGCAGCCAGTAGCGAGGCAGCTACAACAACAGGACCATTTAGCACTGCAGCACCAACTAGCTCCAGTAGAACCACAGCAAGAACATCAAGCACTGCACAAGTGACATCTAGTAGTGAGACAACGCGAACAGCTTCAACAGCAAGCACTTCTAGCACTGCACAACGGGCAGCCAGTAGCGAGGCAGCCTCAACATCAAGCACTTCTAGCACTGCACAACTCATATCTAGCAGCACAGCAAGCGCATCAAACACTCCACCAGGGACGACAAGTAGCGAGATAACGCAAACAGCCTCAATATCAAGCACTTCTAGCAATGCACTACCAACTAGCTCTAGCAGAATCACAACAAGCACATCAAATATTGCACCAGGGACATCTAGTAGTGCGACAACGCGAGCAGCTTCAACAGCAAGCACTTCTAGCACTGCATCACGGGCAGCCAGTAGCGAGGCAGCTACAACAACAGGCGCATTCAGCACTGCAGCACCAACTAACTCCAGTAGAACCAAAGCCGCAACATCAATCACTGCACCACTAACATCTAGTAGTGAGACAAAGCAAACAGCTTCAACGGCAAGCACTTCCAGCACTTCACCACGAACCAGCTCAAGCAAAATAACAGGCACGTCAAGCACTGCACCACCAACAACCAGTAGCGAGTCAGTTACAACAACAAGTACTTCTAGCACTGCACAAGGGGCAACCAGCTCTAGCGGAGCAACAGCAAGCACATCAACTCCATCAAGGACGACAATTAGTGGGACAACGCGAACAGCTACAACAACAAGCGCTTCTAACACTGCACCATGGGCAGCTAGTAGTGAGGCAGTTACAACAAGAGGCACTTCTGGCACTGCACCACCAACCAGCTCTAGTGGAACTACAGCAAGAACATCGAGCACTACACCATTGATTTCTAGTAGTGAGACGAAGCGAACAGCTTCAACAACAAGCACTTCTAGCACTGCACAACGGGCGGCCAGCTCTAGCGGAGCAACAGAAACATCAAATACTCCACCAAGAACGACATTTAATGAGACAACCCGAACAGCTACGACAACAAGCACTTCTCACACTACACCACCAGTCAGCTCTAATGGAACTACAGCAAGCGCATCAAGCAGTGCACCACGGACGATCAGTAGCGAGGCAATTACAACAACAAGCACTTCTAGCACTGCACCACCAACCACCTCTAGCGGAGCAATTGCAAGCACATCAACCACTGTACCCAGCTAGTTGTAAGCAGCGCAAACAAGTACAACAAGCGCTTCCAGCGCTGCACCATCAACTAGCTTTAGTGGAATCAAAGCAATTACTGATGAAGTTTCACCCTCTCTATTTCCGATAGCAGGCACTATCTCGGTAGACGTATCTGCAATACCCTCTGCAATAAATGTCACGCTATCGCCATAAAGCTTAAGGCATGCTGCAAGCCGTAGCGCCAATTATTTTCTCATGCAAATAGAATTGACGCGGTCGCCTCTTCTTTCCGAGCATTACGAGTAGGAACATTCACCAGCTTCGATGCCTTTAACGAACAAGTTGTAGCGGGTTCATTAATGAATAACAGTGTTTCAGGAACATAGTGATATGGCTTAGAGCATCAATCATAGCAACCTATAAGGAATTCAGGAAATGGATGTTTGTGGATCTTTTCTTCGCTTTCCTTTTCTTTCACAGTATACCTATTTACGAAACGTCATGATAATTTTGGGTTAATGACTTCATGAGGTAGAAGTGCCTGCAAACATTTTAATCAATATTGCACAGTATAAATAAAAATATATCTAACAAAGTGTTCGTGTATTTACAAACTCCTCATTAGCGCTTGTTAGACCACTGTTGCATGTAACTCAGCACAGACCTCGGCAGCAGGTCTCCGGAAGGCAAGCTGCGTTCTTGTTAAAAAAAGCAAAGAAGAAACGTATAGGGTCCGAGGTAGGCCTAAAGTTCATTACCAGTTCTGACCGCTCTCTTGGCAAGAAGAATGTTGAAGCTTCCCTTTCCTTCCTAAAGGGGATATTCACGCATGTGGCCTAAGTATTCTTGCCTTATTTGATTCCATTCACATGTGAGCGCTCAGGAACACGCTCCAACTCGATGTTTGTTCCAATGCAGGCGTATAGGCGAGAAATTCAAACGTGTTTTACAATATTTATATAAACGGGTTTTTCTAAGCAAATAGGCAATAAACACTCACCAAAATTGGGTTAAAGATGCGAAACAAGGCGTAGAAGAAATGTATGAGAAATCTTTACAAAATTATGGGATTGAAAAATTCCTGTACTTTTTTGTGATTTTGTTGTCCGTCGGAGACCTACGGGAGACATCTCCCATAATTTTGCTTTCCTTAAATCAAACACTTTTTGTGCACCCCTTGATGCAACTTATAACACAATAACCAAAATAAAACACTTTCTCTCTTCCTTACTAGTGCCCTAATTCGTTTTACTTTGATGGAAAAAAAAGTGCTCCAAGCAAACAGCACTGCATGCTTGTCCTGCTCGTACACGTTTGTACAAGTTACAAAAGGGGCTTCGTAATTTCGTAGCATTTCAAAAGGGTCTTCGTTCTCGTAAGGTTAAATCGGAGACCTCATGCCGAGGCCTGACTCAGCAGCAATAATTCTTAGAGCATTTCGTCGGTTTTATGTATGGTATATCTAGCTCTCCCCATAGACAAATAAGCAAATCTAAATTACTCGCTCAATCTTCATCTACAGATTATAAAATAAAAAAAGTTCATAAGTGGTCTACATAGGGTGATAATAAAAGCATCCAAAAAATGATAACCCATTCATCTACGATTGTGATAATCCCTCTAAACCATAGGTTGGATATGTAAAGCCGTGGCCTGGTCACATTCGCTATTGTAGCGAAGGGAGGATGGGACCTTCACCTATAAAAGCTTGATAAATTATGCTCGCGTCTCAAACACTGATCTTTCTTACTCAATTTTCCAAACGCAGAGAAAGTTGCACTTTGCTTCATTGATAACACATGGAAAGGGCCAAAGAATGGCGTCGTCATTTGTAGTACAGAACAAGAACTCAACTAGAGAAGTAGATGTGGATTTTTTTTACATA